CTGTCGTCAGCGCTACCCACACGGTGGGCGGTAGTGTAGGCAGTAGCGCAGAGCAGCGCCCGTGGGCGGGAGTGTGGGTGTTTGTGGGTGGGAGGTGAGTGTTTGTGGGTGGGGGTGTTTTGGGTGGAAGGATGTGAGTTGTGGGTAGGAGGGTGGGTGTGGGTGGGAGGGTGTTTGTGGTTGGGAGGGATGGGTGTTTGTGGATAGGAGGGTGTCAGTTTTGGGTAGGAGGGTGGTAGTTGTGGGCGGAAGGGTGATAGTTGTGGGCGGGAGGGTGATAGTTGTGGGCGGGAGGGTAGTAGTTGAGGGCGGGAGGGTGATAGTTGTGGGCGAGAGGGTGATAGTTGTGGGCGGGAGTGGGGAGTGTGGTAGTTGCGGGCGGGAGGGTGATAGTTGTGGGCGGGAGGGTGGTAGCTGCGGGTGGGAGGGTGATAGTTGTGGGCGGGAGGGTGGTAGTTGTGGGCGGGAGGGTGGTAGCTGCGGGCGGGAGGGTGATAGTTGCGGGCGGGAGAGTGGTAGTTGCGGCGGGGAGGGTGATAGTTGCGGACGGGAGGGTGGTAGTTGCGGGCAGGAGGGTGATAGTTGCGGACGGTAGGGTGGTAGTTGCGGGCGGGAGGGTGATAGTTGCGGACGGTAGGGTGGTAGTTGCGGGCGGGGAGGGCGATAGTTGCGGACGGTAGGGTGGTAGTTGCGGGCAGGAGGGTGATAGTTGCGGACGGTAGGGTGGTAGTTGCGGGCAGGAGGGTGATAGTTGCGGACGGTAGGGTGGTAGTTGCGGGCGGGAGGGCGATAGTTGCGGGCAGGAGGGTGATAGTTGCGGGCGGGAGGGTGATAGTTGCGAGTGGGAGGGTGGTAGATGCGGGCAGGAGGGTGATAGTTGCGGACGGGAGGGTGGTAGTTGCGGGCAGGAGGGTGATAGTTGCGGGCAGGAGGGTGATAGTTGCGGGCAGGAGGGTGATAGTTGCGGACGGGAGGGTGGTAGATGCGGGCAGGAGGGTGATAGTTGCGGGCAGGAGGGTGATAGTTGCGGGCAGGAGGGTGATAGTTGCGGGCGGGAGGGTGATAGTTGCGAGCGGGAGGGTGGTTAGTTGCGGACGGGAGGGTGGTAGTTGCGGGCAGAGGGGTGAGTGTTGTGGACGGGAGGGTGATAGTTGCGGGCGGGAGGGTGGTAGTTGTGGGCAGGAGGGTGAGTGTTGTGGACGGGAGGGTGATAGTTGCGGGCGGGAGGGCGGTAGTTGGCGGGGCGGGAGGGCGGGAGGGTGGTAGTTGTGGGCGGGAGGGTGGTAGTTGCAGGTGATAATGTGGTAGTTGCTGGTGGGGAGGGTGGTAGTTGTGGGCGGGAGGGTGATAGTTGTGGGCGGGAGGGTGGTAGTTGCGGGCGGAGGGTGGTAGTTGTGGGCGGGAGGGTGGTAGTTGCGGGCGGGAGGGTGGTTATTGCGGGCGGGAGGGTGGTAGTTGTGGCGGGGGTGGTAGTTGCGGGCGGAGGGTGGTAGTTGCGGGCGGAGGGAGAGTGGTAGTTGCGGGCGGGAGGGATGGTTGTAGTTGCGGGCGGGAGGAGGGTGGTAGTTGCGGGCGGGAGGGAGGGTGGTAGTTGCGGGCGGGAGGGAGGGTGGTAGTTGCGGGCGGGAGGAGGGTGGTAGTTGCGGGCGGGAGGGAAGGTGGTAGTTGCGGGCGGGAGGGTGGTAGTTGCGGGCGGATGGTGGTAGTTGCGGGCGGGAGGGTGGTAGTTGGGCGGGAGGGAAGGTGGTAGTTGTGGGCGGGAGGGAAGGTGGTAGTTGCGGCGGGAGGGAGGTAGTTGCGGGCGGGAGGGTGGTAGTTGCGGGCGGGAGGGAGGTGGTAGTTGCGGGCGGAGGGTGGTAGTTGCGGGCGGAGGGAGGTAGTTGCGGGCGGAGGGAGGGTGGTAGTTGCGGGCGGGAGGGAGAGTGGTAGTTGCAGGAGGGTGGTAGTTGCGGGCGGGAGGGTGGTAGTTGCGGGCGGGAGGGAGGTAGTTGCGGGCGGGAGGGTGGTAGTTGTGGCGGGAGGGTGGTAGCTGCGGGCGGGAGGGTGATAGTTGCGGGCGGGAGAGTGGTAGTTGCGGCGGGAGGGTGATAGTTGCGGACGGGAGGGTGGTAGTTGCGGGCGGGAGTTGATAGTTGCGGGCGGAGGGTGATAGTTGCGGGCGGGAGGGTGATAGTTTGCGGGCGGGAGGGTGATAGTTGCGGGCGGGAGGGTGGTAGTTGCGGCGGGAGGGTGTTAGTTGTGGGCGGAGGGTGGTAGTTTGCGGGCAGGAGGTGATAGTTGCGGGCAGGAGGGTGATAGTTGCGGGCGGGAGGGTGATAGTTGCGGGCGGGAGGGGGCGATAGTTGCGGGCGGGAGGGTGATAGTTGCGGGCGGGAGGGTGGTAGTTGCGGGCGAGAGGGCGATAGTTGCGGGCGGGAGGGTGGTTAGTTGCGGGTGAGAATGTGGTAGTTGCTGGTGGGGGGTGATAGTTGTGGGCGGGAGGGTGATAGTTGTGGGGTGAGGGTGGTAGTTGCGGGCGGGGGGGTGGTAGTTGTGGGCGGGAGGGTGGTAGTTGCGGGCGGGAGGGTGGTTATTGCGGCGGGAGGGTGGTAGTTGCGGGCGGGAGGGTGGTAGTTGCGGGCGGGAGGGAGGGTGGTAGTTGCGGGCGGGAGGGAGGGTGGTAGTTGCGGCGGGAGGGTGGGTGGTAGTTGCGGGCGGGAGGGTGATAGTTGCGGACGGGAGGGTGGTAGTTGCGGGAGGGAGGGTGATAGTTGCGGGCGGGAGGGTGATAGTTGCGGCGCGGAGGGTGATAGTTGCGGGCAGGAGGGTGAGTGTTGTGGACGGGAGGGCGGTTAGTTGTGGGCGGGAGGGTGTAGTTGCGGGCGGGAGGGTGGTAGTTGCGGGCAGGAGGGTGATAGTTGCGGACGGGAGGGTGGTGTTGCGGGCGGGAAGGCGATAGTTGTGGGCAGGAGGGTGATAGTTGCGGGCGGGGAGAGTGGTAGTTGCGGGCGGGAGAGTGGTAGTTGCGGGCGGGAGGGTGGTAGTTGCGGGCGGGAGGGTGATAGTTGTGGGCGGGGAAGGTGATAGTTGTGGGCGGGAGGGTGATAGTTGCGGGCGGGAGGGTGATAGTTGTGGGTGGGAGGGTGATAGTTGCGAGCGGGAATGTGATAGTTGTGGGCGGGAGGGTGACAGTTGCGGGGCGGGAGGGTGGTAGTTGCGGGCAGGAGGGTGGTAGTTGCGGGTGGGAGGGTGGTAGTTGCGGGCGGGAGGGTGATAGTTGCGGGCGGGAGGGTGGTAGTTGTGGGCGGGAGGGTGATAGTTGCGGGTGGAGAATGTGGTAGTTGCTGTGGGAGGGTGGTAGTTGCGGGCGGGAGGGTGATAGTTGTGGGCGGGAGGGTGGTAGTTGCGGGCGGGAGGGGTGGTAGTTGTGGGGGGAGGGTGGTAGTTGCAGGTGATAATGTGGTAGTTGGGGGGAGGTGGTAGTTGTGGGCGGGAGGGTGATAGTTGTGGGCGGGAGGGTGGTAGTTGCGGGCGGGAGGGTGGTAGTTGTGGGCGGGAGGGTGGTAGTTGCGGGCGGGAGGGTGGTTATTGCGGGCGGGAGGGTGGTAGTTGTGGGCGGGAGGTTGTGGCGGGAGGGTGGTTATTGCGGGCGGGAGGGTGGTAGTGGTGGCGGGAGGGTGGTAGTTGCGGGCGGGAGGGTGGTAGTTGCGGGCGGGAGGGGGTGGTAGTTGCGGGCGGAAGGGATGGTTGTAGTTGCGGGCGGGAGGGAGGGTGGTAGCTGCGGGCGGGAGGGAGGGTGGTAGTTGCGGGCGGGAGGGAAGGTGGTAGTTGCGGGCGGGAGGGTGGTAGTTGCGGGCGGGAGTGGTGGGAGTTGCGGGCGGAGGGTGGGAGTTGCGGGCGGGAGGGAAGGTGGTAGTTGCGGGCGGGAGGGAAGGTGGTAGTTGCGGGGGGAGGGAGGTGTTGCGGGCGGGAGGGTGGTAGTTGCGGGCGGGGAGGAGGGTGGTAGTTGCGGGCGGGAGGGTGGTAGTTGCGGGCGGGAGGGGAGGTAGTTGCGGGCGGAGGGAGGGTGGTAGTTGCGGGCGGGAGGGAGAGTGGGAGTTGCAGGAGGGTGGTAGTTGCGGGCGGGAGGGTGGTAGTTGGGGGCGGGAGGGAGGTAGTTGCGGCGGGAGGGTGGTAGTTGTGGGCGGGAGGGTGGTAGTTGCGGGCGGGAGGGAGTTAGTTGCGGGCGGGAGGGAGGGGGGTTTAGTTGCGGGCGGGAGGGGGGGGTTGGGTATTTGCGGGAGGGTGGTAGTTGCGGGCGGAGGGTGGTAGTTGCGGGCGGGAGGGGGGTATTTGCGGGCGGGAAGGTGGTAGTTGCGGGCGGGAGGGGGCGTAGTTGGGGCGGGAGGGAGGGTGGTAGTTGCGGGGGGAGGGGGAGGGTGGTAGTTGCGGGAGGGTGGTAGTTGCGGGCGGGAGGGGTGGTAGGGGTTTTTGGGCGGGAGGGAGGGGGGTTTAGTTGCGGGAGGGAGGGTGGTAGTTGCGGGAGGGAGGGGGTAGGTTTGCGGGCGGGAGGAGGGTGGTAGTTGCGGGAGGGAGGGTGGTAGTTGCGGCGGGAGGGAGGGTGGTTAGGTTGCGGGGAGGGAGGGTGGTAGTTGCGGGCGGGAGGGAGGGTGGTAGTTTAAGTGTTCTCTTTGTATTTAATAAAAAATAATAATAATAATGATTTTAACAATAATAATAGTAATAACAGTAATATTAATATTAATAATAATATAATAAAAGCATTAATAAAAATAATAATAATAATAATAATAATAATAATAATAAATAATAATAATGTCTTAAGCCCAGTTACTATCACAAGGTGAGGAGAGAGTTATAACATCCCTCAGTTATGTTATTCGATGCTCAATATAAACATTACTTCTGCTTTTCCTAGTTACTTGCTTATTGTGTTTTAAAGTCATCAGTGATGAATGATCATTATAGGTGTATCTTCTCTTACACGTGTAGTCATTGTTGCTTTGTTTCTCCCCTGGCAGGTCGTGGTTGAAAATGACTGAGTAGGCCACCTGAAGCAAGCCTAGTGAATTGTGAGTATGTCACGCTGTGTTGTGTTTCGTTGTGCCAGCTTGGAAAACCTTAGCTAGGTACTCTACACATGCTTGCTAGGTGGTAGTCAGCTAGGTAAAACCTTAGATAGGTACTCTCCACAAGCTTGCTAAGGGGTAGTCAGCTAGGTAAAACCTTAGCTAAGTACTCTGCACAAGCTTGATAAAGGGTAGTCAGCTAGGTAAAACTTTACTTAGGTACTCTCCACATCCAAAAAACGTATATTCAGTAACTATAACATCAAGTGGACCCTCCACCCAGTATGGGCTTTATCTGTGCTGTACGGACAAGACAAGACTCAGCGTATATACATATAATAGGTCAGGTCAGGTAAGTCACTAGGTGGAGGGCGGAGGTAGGTAGTGGCTGTGTTCTGCTTAGGCTCAAGAACACGAGAATGAAGTAACGCTGCGGTATGTCTACTGGCCCATGGTAGGCAGGTCCATCTCACACTCACATCCACTCAGTTACCTGTCCGACCTATATTTTAAACTATCCAAGGATGTATTTCCGAGATAACGAAACTGCCTGTGTTTTGAACAATTGTAAGTGATTAGGTACAGGTCCACATAAGTACAATTATCATACATAGTATCATATGCGTAAATTACCTAAGATAACCCCAAAAAGTCAGACAAAGTGACTTATCTCCATTGGGGTCCTTGTAATATCTCATTATTTAAAGCCTATCATCTTGGAAGTTCAAGATATGGGATGGTGTAAATAAAAGTCTGGTCGTTGTGCACGAGTGACCAGCATCACTCGTGCACAAGACATTAACCAGGTAATATTAAAGAAACTCGAAAATTCCCTTACCATCTCTCTGCTTGAAGTACTAACTAGCTACAGACCACTTCCTTGAAGTCTAACAGCATACATTACAATAAAGGAACAAGACCCTGAAGTACATTAGTGTTCTCTAAGAGCAGCTTAACCATTGTCTTGATCAGACAATGCTGGAGAAGTCGAGGTATTGTTGTTCACTTAGTGTCTTCGCACACTGTTACTACACAGTACTGTTGTTCACTTAGTGTATTCACATCACGACAGGCAGCAGAGTTATCACTAGAGGCAGTGGCGTCATCACTAAATGAGGTGGAGTCATCATTAAAGGCTGTAGAGTCATCAGTAGAGGCAGTAGAGTCATCGCTAAAGGCAGTAGTCATTACTAGAGGCAGTAGAGTCATCATTTGAGGCAGTAGAGTCATCACTAGAGGCAGTAGAGTCATCACAAGAGGCAGTTGAATCATTACTAGAGGCAGTAAAGTCATCAGAAGAGGAAGTAGAGTCATCACTAGAGGCAGTAGTCATCAATAAAGGCAGTAGGATCAACATTAGAGGTAGTAGGGTCATCACTAGAGGCAGTGGAGTCATCACTGGAGGCAGTAGAGACATCAAAAGATTCAGTAGAGTCATCACTAGAGGCTGTAGAGTCATCACTAGAGGCAATAGAGTCATTAATGGAGGCAGTGGGCATCACTAGAGATAGTAGAGTCATCACTAGAGGCAGTAGAGTCATTACTAGAGGCAGTAGAATCATTACAAGAGGAAGGAGAGTCAACACTAGAGGCAGTAGAGTCATCACTAGAGTGTGTAGAGTCATCACTAGAGGCAATAGAATCATCACTAGAGACAATATAGTCATTACTAGAGGCAGTAGAATCATCACCAGAGGCAATAGTCATCTCTAGAGGCAGTAGTCATCACTGGAAGCAGTAGAGTCCCCAGTAGGGGCAGTAGAGTCATCATTAGAGGCAGTAGAACCGTCACTAGAGGCAGTAGAGTCATTACTACAGGCAGTAGAGTCACCACTAGAGGCAGTACAATCATCAGTAGGGGCAGTAGAATAATCACTAGAGGCAGTGGAGTCATCACTAGAGGCAGATTCATCACTAGAGGCAGTAGATTCATCATTAAAGGCAATAGAGTCATCGCTAGAGGCAGTAGAAACCATCACTAGAGGCAGTAGAATCACCACTAAACTCAGTACAGTCATCAGTAGAGGCAGTAGAATAATCACTAGAGGCAGCAGAGTCATCGCTAGAGGCAGTAGAATCGTCACTAGAAGGAGATTCATCACTAGAGCAGTAGATTCTTCACTTGAGGCAGTAGAGTCATCGCTAGAAGCAGTAGAGCCATCACTACAGGCAGTACAATCATTACTATAGGCAGTAAAATTATCACCAGGGGCAGTCGAGTCACCACAAGAGGCAGTGCAGTCATCACTAGAGGCAGTAGAGTCACCACTAGAGGCAGTGCAGTCATAACTAGAGGCAGTAGAGTCACCACTAGATGCTGTGCAGTCATCACTAGAGGCAGTAGAGTCACCACTAGATGCAGTGCATTCATCACTAGAGGCAGTAGAGTCACCACTAGATGCAGGGCAGTCATCACTAGAGGCAGTAGAGTCACCACTAGAGGCAGTGCAGTCATCACTAGAGGCAGTAGAGTCACCACTAGATGCAGTGCAGCCATCACTAGAGGCAGTAGAGTCACCACTAGATGCAGTGCAGTCATCACTAGAGGCAGTAGAGTCACCACTAGATGCAGTGCAGTCATCACTAGAGGCAGTAGAGTCACCACTAGATGCAGTGCAGTCATCACTAGAGGCAGTAGTCACCACTAGATGCAGTGCAGTCATCACTAGAGGCAGTAGAGTCACCACTAGATGCAGTGCAGTCATCACTAGAGGCAGTAGAGTCACCACTGGATGCAGTGCAGTCATCACTAGAGGCAGTAGAGTCACCACTAGATGCAGTGCAGTCATCACTAAAGGCAGTAGAGTCACCACTAGATGCAGTGCAGTCATCACTAGAGGCAGTAGAGTCACCACTAGATGCAGTGCAGTCATCACTAGAGGCAGTAGAGTCACCACTAGATGCAGTGCAGTCATCACTAGAGGCAGTAGAGTCACCACTAGATGCAGTGCAGTCATCACTAGAGGCAGTGAGTCACCACTAGATGCAGTGCAGTCATCACTAGAGGCAGTAGAGTCACCACTAGATGCAGTGGTCATCACTAGAGGCAGTAGAGTCACCACTAGATGCAGTGCAGTCATCACTAGAGGCAGTAGAGTCACCACTAGATGCAGTGCAGTCATCACTAGAGGCAGTAGAGTCAGCACTAGATGCAGTGCAGTCATCACTAGAGGCAGTAGAGTCACCACTAGAAGCAGTGCTACCCATCACCAGAGGCAGTAGAGTCACCGCTAGAGGCAGTACAATCATCACTAGAGGCCTACTTCTAGTAGAGTCACCACCAGAGGTAGTGCAATCATTCCTAGAGGCAGTAGAGTCACCGCTAGAGGCAATACAATCACCACTAGAGACAGTAAAATCATCACTAGAGGCAGTAGAGTCATCCCTAGAGGCAGTAGAGTCACCAATAGAGGCACTATTCATCATTAGAGGCAGTAGAGTCATCGCTAGAGGCAGTAGAACCATAACTAGAGGCAGTACAATCATCACTAGAGGCAGTAGAGTCATTACTAGAGGCAGTAGAATCATCCCCAGAGGCAGTGCAGTCATCACTAGAGCCAGTAGAGTGACCACCAGAGGTAGTGCAATTATCCCTAGAGGCATTAGAGGCGCTAGAGGCAGTAGAGTCACCACTAGAGGCAATAGTCACAACTAGAGGCAGTAGAGTCACAACTAGAGGCAGTAGAGTCACCACTAGAGGCAGTAGTCACAACTAGAGGCAGTAGAGTCACCACTAGAGGCAATAGTCACCACTAGAGGCAGTAGAGTCACAACTAGAGGCAGTAGAGTCACTACTAGAGGCAATAGAGTCACCACTAGAGGCAGTAGAGTCACAACTAGAGGCAGTAGAGTCACCACTAGAGGCAGTAGTCACAACTAGAGGCAGTAGAGTCACCACTAGAAGTAGTAGAGTCACAACTAGAGGCAGTATAGTCACCACTAGATGCAATAGAGTCACCACTAGAGGCAGTAGAGTCACCACTAGAGGCAGTAGAGTCACAACTAGAGGCAGTAGAGTCACCACTAGAGGCAGTAGAGTCACCACTAGAGGCAGTAGAGTCACCACTAGAGGCAGTAGAGTCACCACTAGAGGCAGTAGAGTCACCACTAGAGGCAGTAGAGTCACAACTAGAGGCAGTAGAGTCACCACTAGAGGCAGTAGAGTCACAACTAGAGGCAGTAGAGTCACCACTAGAGGCAGTAGAGTCACAACTAGAGGCAGTAGAGTCACCACTAGAGGCAGTAGTCACAACTAGAGGCAGTAGAGTCACCACTAGAGGCAGTAGAGTCACCACTAGAGGCAGTAGAGTCACCACTAGAGGCAGTAGTCACCACTAGAGGCAGTAGAGTCACAACTAGAGGCAGTAGAGTCACCACTAGAGGCAGTAGTCACCACTAGAGGCAGTAGAGTTACCACTAGAGGCAGTAGAGTCACCACTAGAGGCAGTAGAGTCACCACTAGAGGCAGTAGAATCAGCAGACCGAAACAAAACAGGAAAAGATGACTGGCGAATGTCTGAGTTATTTTTAGGCAGCGAGCAGAGGAAGTTGTTGAGAGATGGTAGTGTAGACCACCCCTGTACAGTGTACTCGACCTGTGTATAGTGTTCACCACCCCTGTACAGTGTACTCGACCCATGTATAGTGTTCACCACCCCTGTACAGTGTACACCACCACCCCTGTACAGTGTACTCGACCCATGTATAGTGTTCACCCCTGTAGAGTGTACACCACCCCTGTACAGCATACACCACCCTTGTACAGTGTACTCCACCACCACCACAGTGTACACCACCCTTATACAGTGTACTCCACCGCCCCTGTACAGTGTGTACACTACCCCTGTACAGTGTACACGACCCCTGTACAATGTACGCCACCATCCCTGTACAGTGTACACCAACCACCCCTGTACAATGTATACTATCAGCCCTGTACAGTGTACACCACCCCGGTACAGTGTACGCCACCCTGGTAGTATATTTCATCACTCCTGTGCATT